TCCACTCTTCTGTGCAAGTCTAATATGTTTCTTTTTGTGCAATTCTGTGACACTCTGCACTGTGTTGTCTGGAAGCTCTTAGCAGTTTTGTGGGGTTTTTTTCTGTACCACAAAGTAGATATTCAAGAATAAGTGCCGGCATGATTTTGTAAAAATCTTAGCAATCCGGGAGTTTGTTTTTTCGTTTGGTGTTTATGTTTGCTCTGCTGTGCACTGATGTGCAAACATAAGCAGCCTGATGTTTGCAAAGCAAGGCAAACACAGTAAGGCATCGCTAAGAGCTTGAAATTGGTGCTGATGGAGTGAGTGGCCACCCATCAACCTGTCCCTGTGGGTAGTTCCCAAGTCTGCCAGAGAGGAAAAGCGTGAGTTTGGTAGATGGATGTCAGAGAATATGGGATTTCTTACCCAACTGGAGGTTCACTTGCAAAAGATGGCAGAGCTTGAAGAAAGTGATACATTCAAGAGAGAATGAGACAGAATTCACCTCTGCTATGTCCTAATACAGGTTTAGTTATTTCAGATTTTCTCTGTCACCTTGGGATTTTTGAGTAGCTGTGCTGCAACTTTCTGTTCTGTCTCCATTTCTTGTAATTGTTATTTTTTTCCCAGGATTTTGGTTTTGTTTTAAGTAATGTGTTACTTTCAGTATTGTACTCAGGGTTGTGAAACTAGATGGTGGGAGCTAGTAAGAATTTGGCTCCCTGCCCTCCTAAGGATGCAGTTGCATCATCTAGAGGTGTGTGTGCTTGCTCGGTTTTGGTGCTCAGTTCTTTAGTGCTGTACTTCTGTATGTAGGGAATGGGGTGAGGGGTGGTCCTTCAGTTGATTTAGGGTGTGTCACAGCCTGAGTTCTCTACTAAGGGAGAAGGAAGGACTTGGCAGTGATGTGCTGACAGTGATAACACTGATGCAAAGGTGATAGTTGTTATCTGGGACAAAAATAAGGGATGCTCTGAAATCAACACCTTCCTAAGAGCTGAATTTTTACCTAGAACTGTATATTATCTTTTGTGCTGCCCTTGTAAAGAGAGTGAGAAAGTAGTTGATTGAGTTTCATAGGTTTTTGAAAGACACTTCATGTGATGCTACCTCATCTGATAACTGCTTCCACTTTTTTGTCCAAATGTCTGTGAATTATCTACAAAACCCAGTAAAACAAGTCATGTAGAGAGCAAGTTATTTCTGACCCATTGCTGATTGTTAAAGTCATGTGAAATTTTCTTTAAGTTATTGGAATTGTTCCTTGAGAAGACAGTAAAAACAAACATGGGCTATAAATGTTGTTATCCTGCTGGGCAGGGTACAATAGAGTCTTTGTTCTTTCCCAGTACTTAATTGTAAACTGGGTCATGAAACTATTGCCTTCTGATTTGAGGAAAGGTAGAAAAAGATGAGCTTTTTAAAGGACCTTCAACTGGCTTGTGGACAGTGTATGTTGTTTGCTTATTTATATTTTTCAAATACAGTTAGACTAAAGTAAATATTTTGTCTGTAGTCAAAATAATAGTTCTTTGGGGTTACCAAAAGGAGTTGGAGATGGTAATTTCCTTCACACAAAACTTAGACTATGCATCTCTTGGGGAAGATGGCTAAATCCAGGAGCTGGATTGCAGCTCAACATTGTGAAGGCATGAGAAATCAGATTTCACTTGTATTTAAAGAATGTTTCAGCAAGTGTTGTGAGCCCAAGGCTCTTTTTCTGCTATTATGCTAGTCTCTGGCATTCAGCTGACTGTGGTCACTGGAAAACCATATTTTCCACAAATACACCTTTTACTTTGGTCAGCTGAGTTGTTCCTTATACCTTAGTTAAGTGTGATGTCCTCTGTTCTTTGGGTTCTTCAGTTCTGCACACTGAGTAGAGCTACAACAGCCAGGTATCCCAGACTTGCTGTGTCAGTATGTTTGTAGTTGTTTAACCATTACCTTCACATCCCCCCTGACACAGGACAAGCCACAACAAAATGTATTGTTAAAATACGTACTATATTGCTAGAACACAGACTATTTACTACATATAAGGGCAGGTGCATGGTGGTAAAAGCATATTCATCTGAATATTGTAGGGGATAACCTGAAATATTTTTCACTGCTGTCTATCTTGAAGCATGGTTTAAAGTAAAAGCAGTATTATTATTAAATTATCATTATTATTCAATCAAACTCTCCCCAATACTTTATTTGGATTAAAATATTTCTTCCAAGAATTCCTGGGATACATACCTTCTTAACACTGTTAACTTTAACAATAGTTCTAAGGACCTGTTGGTGGTTGTCCCTGCTCCCTGTCACTCCCAACTACATGTGCTCATGACTCTAGGGAATAAGCTGGAAGAGTTCTGTCCAGAAAGCAGAGAGAACTTGTTAATGACTGTCTCAGTGCTTAACTAGCCATGAAAATAAAAGTCAACTTGCTGTAATGCAAACACCCCCTTCTGTCACAGCAGAACTCAGTCTGAAGCATATAAGGAAGTTTGAGGCTTTTTCACATCAAACTGTGTTGTCAATTATGCCTTACAGAAGGTTATAAATGAGAATAATGCATGGGTCTTGAGTCTAGTCAAAACCTAGCAATCAGCAGCAGTAGGGTGATAAAGATTGAGAAAAAATTTACCCTGAGTCAGTTTTTGAAGAAACTTGTAACAGAACAGTAATGGGTGGTGGGTTTGGGTGTTTGGAAGACTGAGCTACTAATTTTGATTTTCGTCATGTTGAGGTGTAGCCTGCTGTCCTGGTTTAGGGCAAATTTGGGAGAAAACCTCTAAAGGGGTTCTTCTAGAAAGCAGATTCAAGCGGCCTCTCCCCTAACTAGTTTGGGAAAACATTTCCATGGAGAAAAGTAGAAAAAAACCTGTTTATTTAACAGGCAAAATGAACAATACTAAACAACAAACTGTTACTGTTCTGAAGAGATGATAAATTCAGAAAGTCCTCTTTGTGGGCTGTAGCTGAGCTCACTCAGTCTGTTACCAGTCCCTCCGGTAGTGTCCTGGGCCTGGTGGGCCACAGGTGTGAGTGAGCTCCTGGTGTTTTTCTGGGTTCTTCAGTCCACAGCAGGTTTGAACAGTTCCAAGAAAAAGAAAAAACACAGTCCAGGGAACTTCACTGCCTCAGCTAGCCCAAAACTAACTAAAAGCACAGGAGAGCTCTCTCGCTGTCTGTTCTGCAGACAACACAGCCCAGGAGCAGGAATGTAGGGGAGTGAGTGCAGTATCTGAAAACAAACTCCATGCTTCTTCTCTCCCCACCCTTCACTCCCAGAACCAGTCTTAAAGGTGCAAAACTTATTTCTGGGCTAAACAGACAAATGGGGATGCAATTCAGCATCATAAAGTCACCCCAGGACACCTGTGTGAAGGAGGCTACACAGTGGCTGAAAGGTCACTGATAAAGCTTTCAACAAGCAAAAGAATGCTTTCAGCTGTTTTTTTCCAAAAGACATGTTTGGCTGTGCTATGCTTATTGATCTGTTGTTTGTAAAAATGTGGGTTGGGGGAGGAGGAATAAAATCAAGGAGAGAAGAGCAATGTTCAAACCTGATGTGTAAGATTGACACAAAGAACAAATAGCTATGACTAAAATTGAAAACTGGAAGAAGCAGAACTGACTTTATCTCAGGAAGTGGTTTCCAGCACATGTTCAGCTGCTGCCCTGAGTTCCTTATGGTTGTTACTAGCTGTCCTTGCCTGTCCTTGAACTTGCTTCCTATGAGCTGCCCATAAGAAATACATAATTTTCTTGATAAGGAAAGTGCAGTGCTTGTATCAAGTGCTAATGCTTCAGGTTAGTTGCTTGATCTACATCTGGATAATAATTAACAGTAAAGATGAAAATTCTCAGGCATCAGTTATTTGAAAGTGCAGCATCAAGCTGCTTGTCATCCTTGACTGACTCGGTTTATTGTGGACTCCGAAGGTTAGAAGTACAGAAGCAAGAGGCAACAAACTAAAACATGTGGGAGCAGGCCCAGATGGGAATGCTGGTGGAAGGTGCAGTGACCTTTTATACAGGCCTGCATCATTATTCTTCACAGCATCAGAGAAGTTGTGCCTTTGTGCTGAAAGTGGATGTAGATTTGATATTTTTGCTGAATGTTATCCTATTGGACAACGCCTGTAGGTCCACTCCTTAACAGTTACTATGCATCGAGATCCCTGCTGGTGTTTTTTTTGTCTCTCACTTGTGTGTTAATTATTCAGCAGATCAAAATCAATCAGGCTCTTCTGTGGATTGTAAAAGTTGTCCAGCTGATCTTGTCCTTTAACTGGAAGATTGCAGTCTTTGGCAATAACATAAATTAACACATTTAAGCACTTTTGTCATAGGCTGTGATGCAGTTGCATCACAATGCAGACTGTCTTAATTATTCTTTACCCCATGTTGCCTGAGGCAGTGACCTCAAAAGCTAAACAAGGCTATGTTTGGCTAGGATGAGAGCAGTCAAACAAATTCAGTGCTACAGGAAGTTTTAGTGATTCAGTAGGTGAGGCAACACCCCTGAGTTAATATTTTCCCAGGGCCCCAGATGGGTATAAGATGCTGCAGTTTGTATGATGAGATGTAAAACCCAGATCCTTGGTTAAAATTTCAGTACAATTCCCAGTAAAAATGAACATGTTAATTCAGGATTCCTGCCCAAGTTCAAATTTTAATGGCTCTGTCCTCTGCACATTTGTAATTTCTGTTTGAGTATAGTCATATGATCTCTTGCTCCCGCCCTAAACTGTTCTTAAGTTGTTGAGAAAGTTTGTGTTCCAGAGGTGCTGACAATGTTTCCAGTTGACAACAGAATGATTTCCAGAAACAATGGTCCATTTTGAGATCTTTTAAAATCAAGGGAATCTTATTTACGTAAGAAATGTCAGGTCAAAACTGAAAATCCTCCAGGATTTCTTTTTTCTTTATGTTTATATGTGCAGAATAGCTTTTTGGCTTGAATACATATATTTGCTACATGGTTGAGTATGCTTACACTTACATATTTTTATTTTCCGTAGGATTCAAGTGCCCTGTATGTTCAAAATTTGTATCTTCTGATGAAATGGATTTACATCTTGTGATGTGTTTGACAAAACCAAGGATAACCTACAATGGTAAGAAAGAAGTAAGCTGATAATTATTTATTCATTTTAAACATTGGTGTGATTATAGTCCCTTACTTACTAAGATATTCTGGTAACTAGTTTGGTGGACTCATAAATTATGTGGTTGTTTTGCTTGTAGTTTGTTTTCTAATTAATTCCTAAGAACTTGGTCTTTGTATACTGCATGCCAATATAATTTGCCCTGTGTCCTGCGAACATAAAATTATTCTTATTTGAATGTGTTTATTCCATTTTTTGACTACTGGTCAGTGTGTGCTTATTGTCAGGTTGAGATATGTGTAGCTTACACCTCCTTTCATCTAATGACATCAAGTAGTGAGGTGGGTCAATTGAGGCTCCTGGGGACTTTATTAAGGACTGTTACTTTTGACATGCTATGCATTTGCACATTATTCAAGAAAATTACATTTTCTGGGAGGAACTAAAGAACTTCTCCTTTTCCACTTGATTCCATATGTGATACTTCATAAAGACTGGGTATATGTTTTTGTTATTTTAATCAAACTGGCCAATATTAAATGAATCACCTGTAGTAGCACTGGTTTTTTTCCCCTACTACTAAGCTCTCCTTCTAGGCAAGCTTTAATGCAAGGCAAACAGGACTTTTGCCACTGAGATCAAACCTTTCTATCACTGTGGCTTAGGCTGATACTCAGTTCTACGGCAAGCACAAAAAAAGGCTTGAGGAAACAAGGAATTAGAAAGTCTTACTGAAATTTTAGTTGCCTGCTTTGGCAGAAAATCTTACAGTGCATCTTCAATGAGATTCTTGTTCACCAGTCATCAGATGTCAGAATAGAATGCAGTTAGAAAGAAATTGTGGAGAGGAGAGGGAGCTGGGCTTTTTTTGCAGGTGAACAGCAAGGTGAACAGCAAGAAGCTGAAAGTTGGTGCTCACAAGTTACATCAGGGAAAGATCTGATTCAGTGTTAAGTAGAAATGTGACATAAAGGGGGGTTGGGGCAAGGCACTGGAAAAGGTTGTGCAATCTCCATCCTTGAGCAATTTAGTCTAACTTGGTCATGCTTTGAGTGAGGGGCTGTCACCAGAGATCCCTTCCAACATGGATTATTTACTACATAAATAACCTGCAGTGTCATGGGCTCTTTGACCCTCCAGGTACCTTGCTTTTAGGGTATTCTACACTGGACCATTTTATTGAAACAAGTCTTGAAGAATGGTTGGGCCCATCTTATTTTTTGGATACCATAATGCTATCCAATACTACTGGACCTTAACTGCAAAAATAATTTGAAATCATATGCTTAGAGTTCAGAAGTCCATTTGAAAACACAGTACTTAGGAAAAGTAAATATTTCTTTTTTCTTCCTGGTGTTACCACACATATATTTGAGAAGGTTGACTTCATCTAACAAAGAGGGCTTTTTTTCCTCTTTATTTTTGCTTCTTAAATTCAGGTCTGAGCATTTTCCAAGATAAGGTGTGTACTGAGGGATGTTGGACATTGGAGAGAAGAGAAGCACACTAGTCACCCCAGTCAGGACAGGAAAATGCACTTGGGATCAGTTAGGGTGGAGCAGGGGGAGGCAGACTGGCAGAGAACAAGCTCTGGCACTAATCCACCTGATGGGGGGTGCCCAGATTTGACTGAAATCCTTTTCCCCTGCTGCTTCCTACAGGTACATATGAGTGCACTCAGCTGACTAACTTTTGTTTGAGGATATGGCAATTACATAATGTAGCCTCTCAGTATTGTTTATGATGTTTGTTTGAATCGCAATGGTGATATATTCTTATTCAGACTCCTTTTTCCATCTTGCATTGTTTCAGCTTACACATGGCTGGTTGGAGTCCCTTTGGGCCATTTTCTTACCTTTGCACAGTTTTTTAAGTCAACAGATGAGCAGAAGTAAAACCTGTGAGTGGCAGCTGAAGCCACTCTGGATAATCTGCAGCATGACAAAAGTGGTTGTGGGCAATGCAATAGGAGTTAACAGCAGCATGTCATCTGTTGCCTTAGGAGTGTGTCTGCTGTACAGTGAGCCTCAGAAACTGATTCTAGGAAATCGTTATGTAAGTGTGAAATAAGGAAACTATCAAATTAGGTAAGCTGGCTTGAGAGAGATACTTAGACGTATGGTCTCATTTTCATGCACTTCAGAGAAGTGTGCATTGATCCTTGTAGCTCCAGTTGGTTAGCTCCTGGAGTCAGGGACTAAAGCTGAAATTATAGCCTGTAGCTGGCTATTTAAATTACTGCAGCATGAAGAAATTGAGGATATGGCTTCTGAGTTGTGCAGTGCTCAGTTGTTCCTTTGTGTTATAGTTGTGGTCCCTTTAATGAGGCTCATGAAAAAAATTAACTAGCAAGTTTGGTAACTTAATGCTGCTATGATTTCAGGCCCAGACCTGCATATGATTGTCTATATGCATGCATTTTTTTCTTGTCTGTTTTGCTGTTTGTCATCATGAGATTAGTGATGAATCGGCCTTTTTGCCATAGGCCAAGGGCATCTCAAGTTTGGTTTGAGAGAAGAAAAGATGCTGCTGTGAACTTTTGATACCTGCTTCCAAAATAGAAAGCATCTCTTTATGCTTTACTTTCTCATTGTTATCTTGGCCTCATGCCATATATACTAGAACAAAGCCAAGCAGGCATCATTTGCTTATGTTGGTCACTGATATTTCCCAGTCCTATTATCACTAGAAGGGAAAATATCTTTTTTCTTTTCTTCCTTTTTTTTTTCTCCTCATCTTCTTTTAGCTTTTAGTTTTGTGTTGCAAGGGGTTGAAGGGAGCCTTAGACTTAGCAGGTGCAGAAGTATTTAGAGATTGAGCAGTTGGATTGAACTGTGCTTGTGTCTAGTTCTGTTCTAGATGTCTTTCCTCATGGTACTGTAGATGTATTAGTTGCTTCTAAGAAACACCAGGGAGCAAATTGTATGTATTTTGTCATTCTGAGAAGACAAACCTTTCTTTTTAAATATGAGTCTGAGGCATACAGTCTCCCCCAGAAAAAGGTTACAAGACTGCTTAGCTGTGATTTCAAGTTTAAATAAATTAATGAGTCCTCCCAGCCAATCTCTAATTGCTTTCTGAGCTACCTTTGTGCATTGCATTTGGCAGTCGAAAGGGTCAGTGAACTGCAAACTCGGGCAGCTGTCTGATTTACATGTGTTTTCTGAAAGAGTGGTCACAAAATTGTCAGTTTTATGCTGGAAGTTTTGCTGATTTTCATATAAATATATCAGTACATTTTATTAGCCTTATTCTTTCAAAATCATGTGACTTGCCTGCAACAGAGATCTCATTGCTGACTGAATTAGGCATTTTAAAAGAGCTTTCTTTTTTTCTGTGGAACTTTGTTCCACATTCCTTAAACTACTTGTGGTGCTCACACATGAACCAATATCTAAGCATTTTTATACAAAAGCTGGTTAAATGAATGGTATTGTGCAGAAAACATCATGGTGTTTGGTCATGTTGTCTTTAAAAACCTTTCCTAGCAGTTAGCAAATGCTTGCTGAATTGTTGAGGAGCCAAAGTAGGTCCCATGCACTAGTTAACCACAGGTTGCCAAAAGCCAGTTTTTGAAGAAAGTGGGTTACTTGCTAGTTGACAGACTGCTAAAATATTGTGTAGCCATACCTAATCCTTTGAGCTTCTCCAGAGTGTTAAATGAGGCCTCTTGCACAGTCTTGTTCAAATTTGTCATGGTGACAAGCAGGGAGCCCACTTAGGGACTGCTCTCTGAAAGGTGTTGCTTAAATTGTAGCCCCATGTTTTGGTCAGATACTGGCATTTATGTAAATTTTCTCTGTGCTTTGGAAGCAACTTACCTTAAACTCCTTGCTGATGATTACAGGTGCCTGGTAAAGTTTAGATTTTGAATATAATTATTGTGTTGTTGCAATATTAATACAGCTTTTTTCACTGGAAGATGTTTTATAAAAAATTGAGGAGACACAGGAGAGACTCATGACTTCAGATGCTTTGCAACAAACATACCCAATATCCTCTGATGAAACCCTGCAGTTGGTTCTGAAATAATTCTGGTTTTAATTTGAAATTCTTCTGTTTGTTTCTCAGCACACTTTGTAAGACTCCGTTAGTTTTATTATGATTCAAGGGCCCCTCAGAGGGCAGGGATAGCAGCCTGGCAGCTGGCCAGATGGGGCAGCCAGTGACCCTGGAGGGCTGGGGAGAGCCAGTCAGCTCACTGGGCTGCTTGGCTGGCCTGGCGAGCCGGCCTGTCCTCTTTCAAAAGTTTTGATTGAATTAGCACATTCCTGTGGAATATTTTGGGTTTCATCAAGTCAGCACTTTCTGTTGGAATGGTGTTCTACTGGAAACTTTCTAAGCCGATCTCCTCAAAGCTGCTCGCTCAGGGGTGGTTCTGCTTTGACATCAGTGCTGCTCTTGCTCAGACTACTCTTCATTTAATTCACATGTGGCAGAGGGTCTGACTGTTGGCCAGCATATTTACTCAGGTTCATTTTAAGGGGAAAAGCTTTCACTAGTGTAATTCAGACAGGACCAATGTTGAGACATCCAGTGCATGAACCACTGAAAGTTTTTTCATTACTTGAAGTAAGAACTTTGTAATTTTTCTATTTAAGTTACAATAAGTGATTTTTTTTAGACCTATCATATTAAAAAACAGCTGGAGATCTGACATCACTGATAGCAGGGATTACAGATATGATTTTATATTAAGAGTTTATCCAATTTCTTTGAAATGGAGAATTACTATGTGGAAAACTGTTATAGACAGAATATGAAAAATGAAGGTATGTGTACCAGAAGGAAAAACAGGAATGGAACTCAATGTGCTCTTCCTCTCTGGCAATGTACTTTGTTTTCTGGGGTGTTTGCATCACCAGGCACAAATAGTGGAATGTTCCCATGCTGTCTAACCAAATTCACAGAATCACAGGATATTCTGAGTTGGAAGGTACACACAGTTAGATCATTGAGTCCAACTCCTAAGTGCATGAACCACACAGGGAAAGAACCCACAACCTTGG